TACTGATATGTTATAGTGATTATGTTTTTGTGCATGTCTGGGATGGAGAGGTATTTTTGTTAACGATTGTTATTTATACGTTTTAAAAACTTGCCCTACGACTGATATTTGTTTTTTTTTTTTATGTTTTAACACGAGCGCGATTGTTTGAAGTTTGTTAACCATATTAGAAAGATTCTGAAGCTTTATTATCCTAATGATTATTAGTTCCAGAGTGTCCTTCAGTACTCCGGTCTTGCAGGATTGTGTTGCTTCGGGTACAAGACCATTAACCATGGCATGCAAGAGGCTTTTGCTGAGAAATGACATAAAGAAACGTCATCTTTCCACTTCCCCATTAGTGAGATGACGATCACCCTGGATGATGTTGCTTGCCTTCTATACCTTCCCATTAAGGCAAGGTTATTTAATCAGTTCAGGATCCAATGTGATAAAGCCTAGGATACAATGGTTATTTATATGGGAGATGACTCAATGGATGCCCCGATGCAGTGTGAGAGCACCAAAGGTGCACATGCCAAATTTTCTTACTTAGAGAAGCTTTATGAAGAAAACTTGGAATTGGTCATGAATGTTGATGACGATGATCTACTAGTTACATACCACAAAGAGTGTGTTTTTAGGTGTTTCCTCCTATTCTTGGTTGGCACGTCCATTTTTGTGGGCAAAAGCGCAACCTACATCGATGTGGCATACCTTAAGTACAACATCGACTTGTCGGCCATTCACGAGTGGAACTGGGGGGCCCGCCTATTTGGTACACCTATACTCCAAGCTGAGCAAAGGTTCTCTTTAGATGAAAAGAAAATGACAGGCTCCTGTACCCTGTTGATGGTAATTTCCATAGCCATTATTAATATTAAAACCACTTTTTTTACACTTGTTATTAATACTTTTTCTTATTCATTTTCAAGAGTGGATTATATCTCACTTTCACCGCATACACAGGTTTGATCGCATGCTAAATTATATTGAGGATTGTCCACGTGCTTGCATATATTTCCCGCGTAGAGAAAATGATATTGTGCAACTATTTTGTGTGTATATTGACCGAACTCAGCACGATGACATCGACTCGACACCATACAACACTCACTGAGACACTGTTCGCTTCGACCCCATCTTATTGTACTATAAACGGTTGGAATGTAGGACGAATTTGATGCGTGAGTATCTGCCAGAGCGATGCATGTGTCAGTTTAAATATGTGCAAATCGTTCTAAAATCCCCCTTTGTGTCGGCTCCTAACAGCATCGTCCGTATAGACCTTGATGACATACTAACATACTACGATAGCCATCTGGTACCAGGGGAGTATTAGAGTATGTAAGCCACAAGTCACTGGTCTTATTTGGACGGTTACATGACTTGGTTCTATAGTGTCTGACACCATGTCATGACACCGGAAGCTCCTGGGCGTCCACCTAAGTCTGCCCATGAGGAGATCCTGGAGAATGAGAAAGTCAGGGATGACCATGTCATTGATGTGTTTCTGATATGTCAAAATATTATGCGGATTATATATGAGGGTATAGAGTCCGAAGTGTTTTAGAGAGGTGACGATGATGCAATTTCTCTAGCACGTTCTATTCTTACCGAGGCATGAAATGTCTTGGGTTACCAGCAGCAGAGGAGGAGCTAGGGGTTAGGATTAGACATACACAGTAAGTTATACTTTTTTTGTATTTTGGGATGTTTTAGTTTTTTTTTCATACTTAACAATGTTTGTAATATGATTGAATATTTTTTTTAATTAACACATTACAATTTTCTACGATATTCATGTTTATTAATGTTTAAATCAGATAATGGAAATGTTAGTTTAATTAAAATGACTTTGAATTTATAAAAAAAATACAAACTTTAAGATAATGTTTTTGTCAAAAAATACGCAAAGATTTCAACAATGCATCTACGAATTCACCCAAAAAATATTCGCAGATGCATTTCCAAACTAAATTTTGGCAAAAATAAACTTTAGTGTGTTCAAAGATGCATCTCAGAAAAAAAAAAAAAACTGAAGACATTTTTAAATTTTCAGAAGTGCAACCCAACCCACACCATAAGGGTGGGAAAAGAAATTGCCTATAGATGTTTTGGCAGAAGAAATTTAGAATTATTTGACAATATGAAGGAGATAGGAATACATCTTTCTTTCATAGGTTGGAAAAAATTAAATGATCTAGATGTCAAATTAATTTGCTTAAAGATGGAGAAAACCTTCTCATATATGCTCAAGATATTGCAAGTCATGCGGTGTGCAGCTGCAGCTCAAGATAGCTCTATGGTTGAGCAAGTGATTCCTAAATTAAGGGATGAGGTCATGAACATTATGCTAACTTCAATTCCTTCTTTTGAAGAATTTACCAAGGTTATGTTCAACCTAAGTAAAGATAGTTCTTCTGAACTAAATAGCTTCGGTGGATTCTTTTACCAAACTTATTTGAAAATTGTCAAAATGAATGTGTAATTTTGTACGGCAAATTTTTATCTCAGGTTGCACATTGGCAAACACTTGGTCCAGAAAGTCAGAAACTATCTTTCTAAGTAAATTGCCAACATTATGTAAATTGATGTTGACAAGATGGACAGGTTTAGACCAATATCAATGGCTAACTCTGAGTTCAAATTAATATCCTAAATTTTGACAGATAGAATGGCTCATGTTATGTTCTTTTTTATTTTTAAAGAGGAAAAAGGACTCATCAGGGATAGAATTATAAAGGATGGTATCTCTTTGACATCAGAAGCTATTAATCTTTGAGTGGAAATATGGCTTTCAAAGTAGATTTGTGCAAGGCATTTCACAACTTAAATCGGAGTTTCCCTTTCAAAGTGTCGTCTAGTTTTGGTTTCAATCAACAGTTCTACAGTTGGGCTTCAATTATTCTATCTTCTGCTCATATGTCAATGGTAACCAATGGTGATCCCTATCACATATTCTCTTCTCAGCTGAAGAGGTGCTCAGTAAAAGAATTACCAAATTGGTTAGTGAAGGTAGGTTAGTACCTATGTCAGGTACGAGGGCTCTTCGAGTTCCTTCTCATACATTATAGGCGGATGATATCATCTTTATCTTCTGTAAAGGTAGCATTGCAAATGTCAGAGCCCTCTCGGAGTTTTTCTTTAATTATGCTCCAAGCTCTGGTAAGATCTACAACACTTCGAAATCAACCCTTTTTCCGAGGTTAGATTGAATCATATCCTTCTCTTAACGGGTTTTACAAAAGGATAGTTGCCTTTTAACTACCTAAGAGTCCCTATCTTTAAAGGTAAGGTGAAAAGGCATCTGCAACACATAACTTGACTGATATTGAAGCTTAACATAAGTTACACTTTTGGGTAATATGCAATGAAGAAACCATTCCTCATTACAGGTCTCTGTTGATCCATCTGTTACTACTTACTATGAATTTCATTTTGAAAAACATAAGGTTTAGAATCTTCATACCACAAGATAGCATCAAAGAGTAATGTCATGAAAATTCAAGCAGATGGTCAAGGTTAAGGGCTGGAGAGAAACAATTCTAAATAGAAAATCGAGAATATTCAACTCACTTAAAACAGCATTGTAAGGGCCATAGAGATTTGAACACAGTACATATCTTATATCTTAAATTAAGTGTTTGAATTCTATTAAACTCTGCTGCAATTTTATAGACACTTCGTTTATTTCTAGTCCTCTGCAACATTGCATCAACGATTGAGACATGAAATAAAACTAAGTGCATGAAAATTGAAGGTACAAATGACCTCTTCACTCTTATTCGATAAAATTTCAGATGAGCAAGATAGCAATGGTGGACCCTTGAATGACCCTAAATCAACTAAATCTCTTCAAAAGAAACATAAACAACAGTGTCATAACTACAGATATACACCCCTTTGCTAACACGTCAAAACCATTGCAAAAACTTAGAGATAGCAAGCCTGAAAAGTGCACGAGCTTGACTTGGAGACTTTGTAATTTGTTTGCTGACTTTTCATCATGTCGTACAGCAAAGTCTGAAAGAGTAAACAAAATTTAAGTTTTTGAAAAGGGTCGATGACCTGATCAAGAAAATATGTCAAATACAGGAAAAAGAACTGCTTCGTAATCATTGTGGCAGCAGTTCTGGTAAATTGCTTCACATTTTCAGCCGGGATTTATAACTTTTATGCAGTGACGTTTCCATATAAAGTAATGAAGTTATGCTCTCAGAGTTTTGATGAAGGCAAAACCACTGTCCTTGCTATTTGCAACTGATGTAGTTTATTACAAGTCTCAACTATGAGAGCTATTATCAAACAGTTTAGGATTTTTTAGAAAATATGTGAAACTGAATCAAAACATAAACCTAAAGATATGAGTTTTGGGGAAGAACAATATCCTGCTACAAACAAGACTTAGATATAGTGCTTAATTTCTATATGGTTTGGATAAAGACAAATAAATAAATAAACTCAATGGAAGCAAAAAACAAGCAATATGAACATTGAATGCAAAGAAGTTTGTACAAACAACAGTTGAGGTGTATGATATTGAATTATAAGATGTATGGTGGTATTAAATACGCCTTAGAGTTGCATTTCATTTCCTCCTTAAAACCATAAGAAGTTCTTATTTTATGTACAATAAGGGAGCTGAGGACGGCAATCAATGAGAAAAATCGGGAGAGAAGTAAGAACAAGATAGTAAAAATGATTACATTGGGCCCAAAAATGCTATAATTAGGCATAAACACTTATTAAAAGATTGTGAATAATACCTTTGTATTACATCAAAAATTATAAAGAGAATAGGAACTTAAGGAGTACCCACAAGACCCAAAATTCTGTTGTTTGTTATCGAGAAATGTAAAATATTGAAGTTCTTTGACTTTGTGAAATCACAAAGCCCTTCTCGAAAGAACATGCATGTTGAAATGAATCCTAAATTGACTATCATTTTAAGCTGTTATATCCAGAAATGATGATATAATCCTTGAGACAAGTGGTAGTCAGTCACCAGTACATACAGTTCATGCATTTAAGCCAGCCCAATTCTTGAAAGCAATAAGCCCTTCCATTTTTCTGAAATTCTTTTTTCTTAACCTGGCCACTTTGAGCTTTTTATGTTTCTCCATGAATGCTTGTTTGTATCTCCACTTATCAACAAATATTTTCATCTCTTTAGATTTCTCAACAACTTGCATCACAGCATCAAAGAAACCTCCCTTGACCATAGCATACAGGAATGCATCAACCAGATTCTGGTCAAACTTGATCCCCTTCGGTCCATTGGCTGATAATTTGCGTTTAACCTCATTCCACAACATCATTACGTCAAAATATTTCTCTGCCGAAACATATCAGTTAATCATGGACAAGTAAGTCTGATCATTTGGCTCAAATTTCAGGAATATCATCCTTCTGAAAGTTCTCCTTGCATCTTCTAGTCTCCCAGCTTTACAAAAAGCATGGATTATAGAATTCCAATCGTGAGTACCAACTTCAACACGTGGATCCTCAACCACTTCATCTAAGAAAGCTGCCATCAACTCAGGTCGATTATTCCCCATCAAACCTGTCATTATAGTCAGGTAACTCCCTTTCAAATCAGTAATCCTCGCCTCTCTCATATCCCTAAACAGAGAAAACACCGACTGAAAGTCTTGACATGACATCGACGTTTCTATCAGAGTATCATAAGTTTCCACGTCCAACTGAAGACCTGAACTACTAATCTCCATCACCAATAGAGTGGTCTCCACAGTTCGATTCTCTTTGCAGTAAGCCTTCAAGATCGGCACATAGACCCCAAGACCAACAGAGCCTCCCAAAGCATTCATTTCATCGAGAATACTGTGCGCTTTGTCTGATAATCCAATACTAACATGCATTAACAATGCCAAATCCTATAGACTCGTCAACTTTGATATTTGAAGATTCAAACTTCTGAGCTTGAATAATCAAATTAGCCAAACCCTTGATATTTCCCATCTGAAGATATTCCTTAACCACTAAGCAAAAAGTATCTCTATCAAAACTCCAAACATCCTCCCCATCTCTATCATTCAGACTACTGAGAAAACTCGACTCCACAGAAGCTAAATTACCAGACTTAACATAACCGCTAATAAAATTAGAATAGAAGCATTTATTGTTTTTCGAGTAACCAAAACCCTTCATCAAAACTTTCAACTCATCTATCTTATCTTGTAACCCTTTCAGTGCATATAAATAAGCAAGAAATCCAAAACTAAACTCATCAGGTTTAACACCAAGTTTCGACATTATTCCAACAACTCTCTCGGCATCCGTTACCGATTCAAGGCAACAACAGCAAGCTTCAAGAGCAGCATTGCAAGCAGTAGCATCCGGCTTCATGAACTCCATCTTCTCCTCCAAAGCAACCCTACAATTCTCTTCAAAAACAGGCAAAAAAGCAGCAAGGTTATCATTATTCCTGGCAATGTCAATAACCACACCACCCCACGAATCAAAAGGGATAAAAAACCTATTTTTAAACATTGTTTTGACCATTGCAAAAGCCGGGGCAGCAGTGTTGGCAGATTTCATGGAAACAAGCATGGTATGGATGGTATCGAAATCGAGCAAGTTGGGGTTTTTCTCAATGAGATAGATTGTGGATGCAAAAGCCCTTTTGAGATTATGAATGTCACCGAGGGAGGATAAGTTTGGTCTTTTTCTTATTGTGCAAAAAGAAATCTCAAATATTACAGCATGGAGTTGAAAGAAAGACCCGAATGATGTTCCGCATACTCTGAATTTATTGAGGATACTTCTTAGACTAGCTTCTAAATTTGGTGGTATTGAAACAGTGAATGATCCAAATCTCAACTACAGTTTTTTATATTCTACATGTGACAGCAAACCAAGATTAGGATATATGGAAATGATAGTTTTATAAATAAAATGACACTAATATCTATATATTATAGTAAAAAAAAAAAAATATGACAAAATTAACACAATAAGATGAACCCATTAAAATAATAGAATCAATTGCAATCAAACAAACATAAAACTCACATGCTTCAATCAAATTTCCAAAGAAATCTGGATACAGAAAATATCATAAGTTGAAGAGAATGAAGTGATGCATAAATAAGCCATTGAGTGGAGAATGCAAGCAAAGATATGCAGGACAAAGAGACAGGTTCTGCTCTTTCACTTATCTACATTTGATGCAACCTCTCCTCTTTTTTCCCTTCAAATTTCAAGTTTAGCAGCAGTTATCTGCTCTATAAGTTCTTTCCGTGAATAACAACTTCAAACAAATGGTATCTCAGTGCAAGTCAAATTGAAAATTACATCACAACTATTGAATTCTTGCAGCCATCACCGCCAACTTTGCTCAGAATAAAAACTAAATTTGAAAGAACTGTATATACCAGCAACATCATTGCATGTATTTTACGTTCTCTCTTAACATTTCTTCCATGTATTGCTCCTGAAAATTCTTTTTTTTTTTGGCGGATTTTGATGAGAATCACCTCTCAATAAGAGAACTTAAATAACAAGATTGATAATATTAGTGCCAAGAGATGAGCATGTTTATTGACTTCCAAGCTTAAATACAAGGCAGCAACCATAGTGTTGCGCCAATGACTCGGCCCAAAGAGAAAGGAAACGATAAACATCATAAACACCTTCAAAATTGATCAACTTCCCATAAAGAAGTTGAACACCGTAAGAATAATGACAGATTTATAAAAATCATACACATTAAATACCGACGGAATAATGTCAGATTTAAAAAAATCATACACATGAACAAAAAACTCATCTCATCTTCTAAAACATTTCATACTTCTTACCACCACCCTTCTTATCATGTTTCCCGTTGCCTCCTTTTCTTTTTCCTGTATTTGACATATTTTTTCCAGTGTCATGACCTCTTGTGGGAGTTGACTTCAACAAATGTTTCACGTCAAGTATACCATTTCTAAAACGACCTTCACTTAACTTCAAACCCCTGTCCTCAGGCTTGTGTTTTCCAACTGGTTTTTTACTGTTGCTACCACCAAACTTTCCCCCAAACCGTCCTAGAATCATATGCTACAAGCCACAAATAGGACAGATATAAGGACAGTGAGAGTTTTACAAACAAATAAAGATTGGAATGATAGAAACTAATTACCTCTTGGAGCATTTTTTCTTCTCTCTGCTTTTGTTTCTTCATCATTGGCCGTGCCACACTTAAAGGTAATCTCTGATTCTTGAGAGGCTGCATATTGGAAAATGAAATGCTGAAATGTGTGCACTGCGCATCCTGATATTATTACAATGATATAGAAAATAGAGCATCAACAAATAGACCTCACCTTCCCACCAAGGGAAACAACCTTCCTATCTTCAATCCTTTTGCGCTCTTTCCATGTCATATGCGAGTTGCCTAAGATATATTGCAAAGGTAACAAACCAAGTGAATACGCTTAGTTGCTTACCATAATTTATTTACCTCAAAATACACCCAATTTAAAATAACAAAAGGAACTAATATTTATATTATCATTCAATCAAGTCAACAACAACATCCAAGACTTATCCCACTATATATTTAAAAACTGAAAACAAAATATTGACTATATATTTCTGAGTGCATCGACAATAGAAAGCAGAACGAATGAGAAGATAAACTCAAAATGAGAAAAGGATAAGAACATACTGAAATTTTCAACATCTTTCATAATCGTCCTTAAGTCCATTTCGTTTTCCTGTTTATTGGTATGTTCTCTTGGAGGAACACGCGGTTTCTTCTGGTACATCTTTCCCATCACTGCTTGAAAATTGAGAGAGAAAAGATTTAAGGAAAAAAGCTTCAAACTAGAAACACAACCAGAATAGCAAATAGTTCAAATGATGGATATAAAAGCTGGAACCTCTACATCGAAATACTACCACAACCTAACTGATGGAGTAATAATCACAAATAAAGATAGATAAAACCTAATCGCAGCCAATAGTGGCGCGATGACCGTGGTGCGCCCTCTGGACGGCGCGCATCACTGTTGCGGCCGTCTCAGATATTTTTAAAGAGAACTACTCGGCGCGGCGCATGTAGGTGCCGTTAGGGAGTTACGCATCCGTTATGATGAAGTTTTTTGAAAATAACATGACGAATCAGAAGAGAGATGGTGAAGAGGAAAGGAGAATAGATCTGAGAGAGAGGGTACCTGAGGATGAAGCGTAAGGGAAAGGAGGATGAAGACCGTCTTCTTCTGTCTCTCTCCTTAACCACCAAAAGGACCCCCTTTTCTTCCTTTTTCTTTTCTATTTTTTGTTTTTGCCTAGCAAAATATTTTGGCATATAAGATGGAAATTGTAAATGTATTTCTCGCTCTTTTATTATAAACCATTTAATATATTCGTAGTTAGGTAGAAAAGAAAAAAATGTAGTTTATTTTTAATTTAAAGAAATTTAAAGAAGTAGAAATAAAATTGAAAAAAGTTACAATAAAAAATGAGAATCATAAAATTCTTCGATACATTTTTTTATCAAATGTTGAAAGATGTGTATTTGTTAAGATTTTAATAGAGACATTTGTATTTTGGTATAAAATGTTACAAATAGTTGTAAATTTCAATATATATTTGGTTTTATTTTGATTAATCGAGTTTTAGGTTATACTTATGACAATTTTACTACTAGAATTAAGAGTGTTCGTGGTTCGGTTTGAATCAATTTTGAATCAAAATATCATTTGATTTAAAGATAAATTACTTATGATTTAGTTCGGTTTTAGACGATTATTTAAAGAAAATCTGATTTGATCTGATTCAATTTTATACGGTTTAATTTTGATTGGTTTTTTGATATCCAAATTACAAATTAAATTTTATGTGTTTTAATTTTGATTGGTTTTTTATATCCAAATTATAAATTATATCTTTTATTAATATTTTAAAAGTACCGATAAATAATAAGTTTGATATGATATATAATATACTATATCAAAACTTCATATTATGAGATGAAAAAAATGAAAATAAATAGGTTAAATCAAACTAATAAATAGTTTTTGAAAAAATAAGTATCATTTAATATTAAATTAAAACAACATATGTATTAATAAAAAATATCTACATGCAGTTTGGTTTGGTTTGAATCGGTTTTTAAAAATAAATCCGAAATTCAATCTGAATCAAGCATTTTTATATTTAAATACATCTAAAAATTTTTGATTTTTTTCAATTTTCAACTTTTTTGGATCGATGTGCAGTTTTCATTTGGATCAATTTGGATTTAAACACCCCTTACTAAAATAAAATTAAAATAAATAGACAAAAATTCCGAATTTTAAAATAGAAGACCCATATTTAAATGGTTTAGAATTTTAAATTCTCTACCAATTTCTAATTAACACATCCAAATACACTCTTAATAAATAAATTTTATTTCATAAAATATTACTATTATTTATATATATTATTTCCTTCAATCTAACTAAATTATTTAGTCATTCCCAAAAGTCAAAACCTGTTACACATTGAAGACAACCTACGAAGTGATCAAGGTTTGTCACTTCACTTGTGTTTGTGTTTTATCTCGTAATCCAACTATCTCACTTCATGATCTCGGCACCATGAAATCAGTTTCACCATTTATCTCCTCCGACAAAACTTCATTCTTAACATTGGAAGAATGGAACGGTTCATCCCCCACTAAGCTCTCCAAGACTTTCACCATCAAAGCTTCTTCTTCCTCTTTCTCCATTCAAAGGTTCTTCTCCTTTCCATCTTTCTCCTTTTCCCCTTCGCAATTCCTTTCTTATTCTCAGACATACACAGATCTGGTGCCCGCTTTACCCATGTTTGGAGACGCTTTCTTCAAGCATTTGTTCCTGAGGCAAGCTTCTACATCATAATTTATAACTATCGTCGATTTCAACTATACTATATTACTATGTGATTGTTGAAAGGGTTTCTCTTTCAGGGGTTTCCAAGCAGTGTTACTCCGGATTATGTTCCTTTTCAAATTTGGGATTTATTGCAGGTAACTATTAAACTAAGAACTATGCATCACAACTATGTATTGTTATTGTTTTTGAGTTAATTATAAATTGGTTATTCCAGGGACTTTCAACATATATAAGGACCATGCTTTCTACTCAGGTAAGCCATTTTTGCATTATATATGTAGTAATACAAAGCTTAGAATAGTCAATGAGTTGTCAACAAAATCCTTTCAGGCTCTCTTGAGTGCTATTGGAGTTGGTGAGAAATCCGCTACGGTCATTGGTGCCACTTTTCAGGTATCATCTTGTTATATTCTACATTTGTTTGATTGTTATGTAGCACAGACAATTCATATTAGAGGTGTGTCCAGTGTCCAACACATGTTGGTGTTAGACATCACAAAACATGTGGTTGCATTTAGTTTTTATTTTCATATTGTTTTTCAATTTTTATTTTGTGGTGGAGCTTGGGCAATGAAACCTCAAGTTGTTTGTTTTTTTTTGGTTTGGTGCATTGCCTCTAGTGTTTTCTTAGGCTACAATGTGTTGACATTGAATGCTGAAACTATTTCCAGTGGATTAGTTTTATTATGTGTTTGCATGACCACCATGTAGCACCAGCATTTTAGATTGGAGGCGTGTCTGGTGTTCAACAGTTGTCTGTGTCAGAAACCGATACACGTGGTTATGTCAAATTACTTTCATTTTTCAAATTATTATTAATGTCAACGTGTGAGTGTCATGTATGGTGTTTGAGTGGTGTGGGGCATTGAATGTGTTGACATTGAATGTTGAAACTATTTCCAGTGGTTTTTGAGAGATCTAACTGGCATGCTTGGAGGAATCTTATTCACATTCTACCAGGTCTGTATCTCAAATGAAAATATCGTTCTTATTAATTTTGAATTGAAATATGCAGCAATGACTCTGTATGTATGCTGGTTCAATCTCCACTCAAACGATTCTGAAAGCATGATCTATTAACTATATTTCTATTTATTGTATATGCTGCAGGGATCAAATCTTGATAGCAATGCAAAAATGTGGCGTCTGGTTGCAGATCTCATGAATGATCTTGGTAGATTATTTGACACTTCGTCTTTTTATAGATGAAATTTGTGTAACCATGTTATTTATGAAAATTTTCCTGTGATGTATAAGCATAGGCCAATAACAGTTTAACTGATTGAATACTAGTTTCATAGTATATCAATTCAAGGACAGAGATTGGAAATGAATCTTGAGACCTGCATGTGCATCATTCTCCCCTTACGACCAAACAACATAACACTATTTGGTTGCAATGGGAGAATGATGCAGGAAGGCTTCAATATATCTTTTATTGATGCTACTGTGTTAAATTTTCGTTCACATTGCAATCTTCGCATCTCATATTGATCTGTTAAGGTTTGTAAACTGATTGCAGGTATGCTAATGGACCTCATTTCACCATTGTTTCCATCAGCTTTTGTTTTTATCGTTTGCTTAGGAAGCATATCAAGATCTTTCAGTAAGTTCCAACATTTCTTTAAGTTCAAAAATAGATCAGTAACGTAATTTATTAGTTAGTTTCTGTAATTTTTTACTCCTCTTTAGTTTCCATGTCAGTAATTTTGTAAGATAAGTTGATGTTAGATTATTGAATAAAACATTTCCTAAGAAATAAAGCTGTTAAACAGAAAAATATGCTTGGAATTATCCAAAACTAGGACACTCTTTTTCTTCTTTTATTTCCCAATTGATATCCTATTTGAATTTTTTCTTTAAATTAATATTTTTCTTCTTAAATCATGATTTTGAACTAGCCGGGGTTGCGAGTGGAGCTACTAGAGCAGCTTTGACTCAACATTTTGCACTTCAGGATAATGCTGCAGATATATCTGCTAAGGTATAAATTGTATTAATTTTAACTGTTTAGATTATTATTAAGTCTTTTATTTAGTAGGGAATCAAAAATAGATATATTTTGATTTTTGAACATACATCGATAGGAAGGAAGTCAAGAAACTGTGGCTACGATGATTGGCATGGCCCTGGGAATGCTTGTTGCGCGTATTACTATTGGACACCCACTAGCAATTTGGTTTTCGTTTTTGTCTCTGACCCTTTTTCATATGTATGGTATGTTTTCAAATTGTAATTTGTTTTTATGCATTGCTTTGAGTTTTGGCACTGAACTCGATAATGCTAATGGTGTCTTGTTTCAATGTAGCAAACTACCGAGCTGTTCGATGCTTGGCACTGAACTCACTAAACCCTGAAAGAAGCTCTATTCTTTTGCAGCATTTCACGGAGACTGGCCAAGGTATTATCTGTTTCCATTTTTACGACTTACCTTTGATGTTAGACTTAGACCATTTACTCTCCTGCTTATGATTTTGGCACATAAAATCGGCTGCATTTTACAACAGTTTTGCAACATAAAGCAAAGTTCGTTTGGTAGAGTTAGCACCCTGTCAAAGAGAATGATGTTATTTCCAATTTAGAAGCTAGCTTATTCTGTTCTCATTGTTTCTCTATATATTAATGCCTGCTTCTAAACTTTTTGCCAGTTCTCTCCCCTAAACAGGTCTCTTCACTGGAGCATGTTTTACCGATAAAGAAGGCTAATTCATTGGATACAAAAATACGTTTAGGCACAAGGATTTCCTCATTCGATGAAATGGAAATGTGAGTTGCTAAAATTTAGTCTGTGCCCTCGTCATAGATAACAAATTTCTTCTTTGAAATGTCATTCATAAAGCTTACTTAGAAAACTCTCTTTGTGTGGTACCAACAGTAAGGAGCATTTGCTTTCGGTAGCATCTTACTACACAAAAGGTTAATTTCTCAAATTCTTTTCAACTACTTGTTTCCGCTTCTTACTTTAAGTCGTAAAACCTTATTTCGTTTTCTCGTTGCTGTATTTAGCCAAGTACTTACTAGTGGAAAAGAAAGGAATCGTTAACGTTATTGTTCATAAAGATTCAAATGGCGCCGATGTCCTAAAGTCATTTATTCATGCTCTTGTCCTTGCAAATAATGCTTATAAAAGCAAATCTTTGCATTCAGACAGCCAAACATGGATGGAAAATCAGTATGAAGTGTTTATTCAGAAGGTACATATTTAAACATGGATGGAAAACTAAGGCATCGTCTAAATAACCCGGTTATTGTAAGATTCTTTTGAAGAGTTTACCGAAACTGAGTCTGTTTGGTACAGGTCAAGTCATTAGGGTGGAAAACAGAACGGCTCCTATCATCACCTATCATATGGAGAGCAAACTGGATACACCAACCGGCGGCTGAAAAAAACGATTAGCCGAAGAGGAAGCTAATGGAAGGACTGAATGGACTAAGTTATTTATGATTGTACAACATGTTTATGATTTTATTGAAGTTCTGTCAAGATAGAGAAATCTGATCATGTAACTGTTGCATTGCACTTGCATCCTATTTCTCTTTTTATTTTGTTTTTTTATTACACACCATTGTTGAGATCTTAAAATATTATTAATTTACTTATTTGATTTTTATTTATTTATTCATAAGATAATGATAGATTAAATTATTACATTAATAGTATTATTAATTTCACAAGGACTAGAGCCAATTAATTCTGAAAGATGAGAAAGTTATGTTTATTTTGAGACTGCTTAATTATCTAATGCAATCCATCCCTTTGACAAATAAAAAAACAATTTTCATTTTCACATATAGTATGTTAATAGCTACTACTTGTGTTACAAACAATCCAACTCTTCTCCCTCTTTCTTCCATCAATCTCAATTTGTTCCAACACTATTAACCAAGATTTTAAACTTAATTAACCACACACTTAATATACTTTTGGAATACAAATTGACTGATATAATTATCATAAGATAACACATTGTTCAAAGTTAAAATGAAGAAACTTAATTGGATCAAAAATTAACTTACAAGGCATTGCACCATTAATTTCTACTATATATCAACATCAGAACTAATATCTTTTTACATGTCTCGTCTTGTGCTTCCAGAACTCATCTTTTTTCCTCTTAGTTTTCTTAATGCCCACCTTTTTGTTAATTGCACCATACAAGGCTACCCTATCACTCTTAGTCTTGTCTGCGGCTTTGACATCGAGAATATCCCGTAGCCTCCGGTAAGAATTCATATCCATCACCTGCCCACTCTTGACCATCTGCTTGTGATAAAAAAATGCCCGCTTATAATCTCGAACACGGACAAAGGCGTATAACATGGTTGAATATGTTACCGAATCCGGTCTCAATTTAAGAGCTTCCATTTCTTTCAACAAATCCGGCAGCTTCGAGTCTAGCCCTCCTCGTGCATATGCATTCATGAGCATATTATAGGTCATCACTGTTGGTCGCAATCCGATCTTCCCGAACTCAGAGATCACATCTCTTGCTTCCATGAAGAGACCTTGTTTGGCAAAACCATCAACAAGAGTGTTGAATGTAACCTGTGTTCCTTTAACTTTCTCGCTCATCATCAGCTTCCATATTTTCATCATTGTTTCGGGGTCACCAGCTTGTCTGAAAGCATCTAGTAAAGTATTGTAGGTTTCTATTGAAGGCTTGATACCTTCTCTGATCATGTTTTCAAATGCAGCATAAGCTTTCTCGTACCAGCCATTAGCTGAATAAGCATGGATCACTGCTGTATAGGAATGTGAAGTGGGTTTTATACCGACTTTCTTCATCTTCAAGAATACATCGTAAGCCATTTCACTCATATTTTTCAGCCTCCCGTATGCGCCGATTAGACAAGTATATGAATTGACATTTGGCTTCAAGCCAAAATCCTGCATTTCTGACAGCAGACCCTCTACAATCTTAGGTTGCATTCTTCGGCTGTATGCATGCATTAGAATGTTGAAGGTAACTGCGGTTGGTTTAATCCCTTTAGCTTTCATCTCGACAAAAAGGCCTTCGGCTTCTTCTACACGATTGGATTTACAATATCCATCCATTAGAGTGTTGTACACAATTGCATTTGAAGAAACTCCTTTCTTCTCCATTTCAGATTGAATGATGAGAGCTTCACTCAGCAGACCCTCAACACAAAATGACTTTATCAGTGCACCGAGGACTTCTTCGCCCAATCGAACTCCTCTTTTGTTCATTTTCTCGAAAAACTGCCATGCATCTTTTGCACAATGGCCAAGTTTTCTAATAACAATAATCATAATAGAGCAGGTCACATGATCAGGACGAACATTATTTGTTTCCATCGACTCATAAACCTTCCAAGCATCTTCATATCTAATAAACACAACCAGGAACGCATCAACATCAAACTCTTATGTTATGCAGTATTCTAAGGTATAAAAGACTACCATATTGCTGCAATGGAAAAACTACATTGGTATGAACAAGTACAATAACAATGATGGAATAACATATAGATACTTTACAATAACTCAGGGTCGTCTTTTAGGACGTACAAGGCAGACTACCACACAGAACCAACATTTGTCACAGTTAAACTGTGGTTAAATAGAGTCTCATACAAATATTTGTCACAATGAAGTGTGACCAAATACGGCCTCTATTTAATTTGTCACAGTTATACTTCGGTAAACCTACATAGTACCTCCAAAAAAGCTGAAACGCCCTACAATAAGACACCTACACCGATGCTATATCAGTAATATAGAAATGATGGAATGTGAATAAATGTGTCGCTACCTGTCATTAGAGAGAAGGCCTGAAATTGCAGCATTATAAACACGAACATTTCTGAATTCCTTGCTAGACGGCAAGTTTCTGAACAAAACCATCAACTTATCACCCATCTTTGCTCTTCCCAACAAAGGGAACAACACAGTAAAAACCCTTGGTGTAACAAGTGATGGTTCCTGTGACCTCATCCACTGAAAGAAATACAAACAACACACCACAAGCTGTTCTTTCCCAAGTGTTTCCAAAACCTCTACACACTCTCTCTCATTGACCCTTTTTTCATACTCTCCCAAAGCTTCCTCTAGAGTCAAATTTTGTGGCAAATTCCTTGCAAGATGAAGAATTTCCCCAACAACACCCTGAGGCAGTGATGGTTCCTTCTTTTGAGACTCCGTTTCTTGGTTGTCTTCAACCAACAAAGGGATGTCTTCTTCTTCTTCGTCAAAGGCTTCTGAAGCAAGGTGCCACGATGAACGACGATTGCTTTGAAGGGACAGTTTTCCTCGTTTTCCAGGGTTTTGAGATGGAGCCTTAGTGCGGGTTTTGAAGAACTTGTAGATTGGATCATCTTGGTGATAGGATTGTTCATTTTGTTCTTCTTGTTCTTCTATGTTTTGGTCTTGTTCGTGTTGTTCGAAATATGGGAGAAAAATGGGGGTTGTTGAAAAGTTTGGGGTTGTAGTTAGAGAAAGTGGGGTTTTGTGTGAGTGAATGGGGAAAGAGGGTTTAGTGTGAGTGTTGGGTGAAATTGAAGGTTGAAGATAGAAGAAGCAATAAGAAGAAGAAGATGAAAGAGAGAGTTTATGGTTTATGAGACTGAGAAACATGGTTTGTTGGAGTTCATGAGATGTTGTGTTAGTTTCGATTTGGAAGGATAAATTTGTGGAATGAAATTTGGGTAAAATAAGGGATCGGTATTATTATTGTCAATTTTGTCATTGTTTGGAATTCGAACAAAACAAAATTGTTTAAAAAAAAAAAAAGATATTTGAAAGTGTTATGTGTTTTTTTTTAAATGCACATCTTCATTTGAGTGTACACGTGATTTTTTATTATTTTTGGAATAAGTCTTTAATAACAATAATTAACAATTGAAAACAAAAATCATACACACTGCTATTTTTTAGGATATGTACAGGTTTTGTGTGAGATATTTTTATTAAAAGGCCTAATTCTCAATTTATTTTAGAATGTTCCCATGAAAATCTTTTGGCAGGGGTAGGTGATGTTAATAGTTATGTTACTAAAGTGGGTTAGATATTTTTTCAAAGATTTTTTTTTGGTGTCAGCTTCTCACAAATTTATGGACCAATTTCTTTACTAAGTCATGATAGTAGCTGATTGAGAATCGTGACAGATTTAAATGTCATTTTAATGATGTGTCTTCGAAGTTCTAGAGAGAAGCTTGCATTTTAGAGAATTAGAGACTCTAATAATTGTCATTTGTGAATTAATGGATACGACACATTTTTAAGGGTCATTGTTGCTAATCGAAAATATAGAGATGAAACGGTTTAAAAATGGGAGGGGTTGAATAGAGCGACTCCCTTATATCATTTTCAAAAACAATTCTTTTACAAAAAATATGAGTTTAACGCGTGGAAGCAAAATGTGATAAGCAGAAGGAAAATACAATAGATGGATTCAAGAAATATGTTATAGATTGAGTCTGGGGTTGGCCTACCGTCGGGCAGACCTAACACAACTCCACGTCGAGGAGGGCCTAACACAAAGGTCCCAGTTTGCATGACCGTTGAAGACCACACCCCACACGCTAATCACGTGTTCTCCACGTGCTCCCCACGTGGGAACACGTCATCAGCCAACTACCCACGTCTGAGGGAACATGTCTTCCACTCTCTGGAGTTCGTGGGGCAGTTGACTCAGGACGAAGAACACATGCGGGTCTTCTTTACTGCCACGTAGGATCCTAGCAGTCATCTGTTATGGGCCTTGCGATCCAGCCCAAAGCAGATGACCATTGGCCCAGCGTCGGGGGCACATTATAAATACACTCCTCCACAGGAGGGTCAGATATTACAATTCATACTTTATACTTGCTTTCTTTCTCTCACTCTCTTCCTCACTTTGGCATCAGAGTGTCTTACCGGCGCACCCTCTCCTCTTCTCCGCCACCAGTGAACTTGGAGCTCACGACGTGTTACTGGCTGCTGATCCTCTTTCTGATCCGGTAAGATCAGTGGTGTTGTTTGTGGGAACCTTTTGCTCCCCCGTCTTTTCTTTCTACGAAATCAAAGGATCAAAGCAAATCTTCAACCTCTTTCCATCATGGCCAGTCAACACGTTGACGACAACGTCCACAAAACTGCCTTCACCACCTTCGCTGACGGCGACGACCACAACAACAACGTGGCACTCGCTGTAGGAGAAGTTGACCCTAGGGATGGGCTCACCGCCTCTCCCTCCTCCGACACTGCGGCCTACAACGCTGCCCAACGTTTCGAGAGTCCATCAGTTTTCCAGCCAATTCATGTGCCACCCAACACCGACCCTACCATTGTGGCCTTGTTCGCAGCAATCAACCAGACGAACCTGGTGATTTTCCAGTAAAACAAATGCATCAAAATGCTAGAGAAAGAACGACTGTCACGCTCTCCCCCGCAGAGAGATCGATGGCCAGTTTCTCGTAGCCTGTCCCCGCGACGATGAGAAACTCGTCACCACTCTCCCCTGCGGAGAGACCAACGAGACGAATCTCAAATCCTCTCGCTGCGATAATCCAGACGTAGGTCATAGCTGGAGAGACCACAAGTCGTGATGACCCAAAACTAGGATTACACTCCTCCCTGCAAGGAACGACGCTCCCCAGCTCGCAAAAGGAACAAAATCGGCGGGCATCCATAAAAACCAAAGGGTCGACCAAGGAACTCGTCGCGCCGCAGTAGAAGCCCCCGGCACGACCGCTCGTTGTCGCACTCACTAGTTTAGAGCGACGAAGACGACCCCCACAGTCCTCTTTCTCGTGCAATTATGGAGGCCCCCATCCCCGTTGGAATGGAAAAACCACCGAGCCTGGCGACCTACGACGACACGACGGACCCAGACGACCATATCGAGAACATTGACGTGATGCTCGATTATCGCAATGTCTGGGGTGCCATAAAGTGTTGGCTTTTCCCCACGATTCTAAGGAAGGGAGACATGACGTGGTATAAGAACCTCGACCCTGAGTCCATCACCTCCTGAAAGGACCTGAAAACACAGTTCACCAAACACTTCACCGCCTCCCGTCGACAACCGAAATCCGAGGCATCGCTAGAGGCCATAGTCAGGGGAAAGACGAATCTCTCCGAGACTATATAAATAGATAACCGAGAGGCTGTTCAGATCTCCACGACTGACCGGATGAAGAGATACTTGCTCGAGCGAGGGTTGCATCCCTGCAGCGACTTCCCTAAAGCAATGGGCATTGAGACGCCTCACTCACTGGACGCCCTTCTTCTTAAAGCCTAAGTGTACATCTAGTACGAAGAGATAGAGGTTTCCAACAATGTCTGCGACTCGCGAAACCAAGAGGGTGCCAAAGTCGCGAAACACGACGACACCATGGCTCCCCGATGTGGCAGGGAGAAAAGAAGAGAAAATAAACCTCACGACTCCCACGAGCACCGCAGACCAGCAGGCCATTTTTTTGAGTACACACTATTGATCGTTCCCCACAAGCGCATCTTGACCGAGTGTGCAAACTCAGAATTCCAAAAAGGGGATGTCCGCTTTCCCAGGTCAACACCCCCAAGCTAGATGTCGACAAATCTAAGTACTGTTGGTTCCATAGGAGCCACGGGCACGTTACGGAGGACTACATCCATCTCAAGGATGCGATCGAAATTCTGATTAAGGAAGGACGCCTGAAACAATACTTAAAAAGGAGTGGAGCTCCTCGATGGGCCTTCCGCGAAGTAAAGAAGGTCGACGAAGAAATACCACTTTCTTACGACGCCAGGTTGCAAGTCACTCTATGCGTCTCTTGGCCTGAGGACTTCTACATCCCCGGAAAGGTCGCAATGCTCGTGTCCACTCACAACACATGGGGAAACTTTCCCTCTACTATAGTCATATACGACAGAGGATTCAACAATCTCTCTATGGGGTCAGTGAAGAGAAAGTTCGACGAGCTGATCGACACGAGCTCGAACCAGACCGCGACCCTTGATAAGTTCCAGGGGAAATCAAACCTCATCACCTTCTACCTGGAGGAGCTGCCAAACGGTTCGCCTAACTCCAACATTCATTTTCTCATCAGAGCATATATGGTAAACTTTGACGTCCGTTGTATCCTGGTCGACCAAGAGAGCTCCGTTGATATTAGGTATGCTAACATGTTCATCACTCTCCAGCTCGACGAGAGGCATCTAACACCATATGTAGGCTCCGACCTGCAAGGCTTTGATGACACCACCACTAAGCCATGGGGCTATGTTGAGTTGCTCGTCACCTTCGGGTCTAAGGAAACCTCCAGGAAGGTCAAGGTTCGTTTCTTGGTCATAGGGTGCCCATCTCTATACCAGTGCATCTTGGGGAGACCAACTCTGCCCTAGATGACTGTCATACCCTCCACGGTCCATTTGAAGATGAAGTACTACACGACCATAGGACGCGTGGTCACGCTTCACAGGGACATTGAGGCCGCAAAAAAGATGTTTCTAAGCAGCAACAAAGGGGATAAACTCGATAAAATCCAATCTCCGTTGCTCGGGATAACAACCAACAATCCACCAATTAATCGTTTTAGGGTTTTAACCATTTTATTGTGTTTTTGGATGTTTTGAATAAGATGAACAAGATGAATATGATGAAAATAATATGAACTATGATAATAAGATCAAGATAATATCAACAATAATATAATCAAGATGATATCAATAATAGTATATGAACAAGAATATAGTCAATAGTATATGAACAATGATATATTAATAAAACAAGAGTATATTGAGCAAAAATTAAAGTAAGTGGTTAGTGATTAATCGAGTATGATCGAATGAATCGGGTTCGCTTTAAAAATAAATCATCGTAGCATGATCTATGACGAAGATCAATGATATATGAGGTCGTTCAACAATGTTTGTGCCAAAACAGGATGGAGAAACGATATGTAGATCGTTCTCATAAAATCGTGCCACACAAAAAGAAAAGGTGATGGTTTTGTCTTAATCACAAACTTGTGTCGATTAATCAAAGATAACCTATCATGATACCATAATATAAAAAATGATCTCGATGATCATTCACTACAGATTTGAAATAATGATGGTTAAGCAACCTCAATCAACTAACATTCGCGATATTTAAACGTCATCGACCCCGAATTTAAAATGAAATAAAAAAATCAAAATGAAAGGAAAAGAAGTTAATGTGAGATGAAATAAAATCAAAGGCAATAAATCACCGACATAAATAACAACATGTATTCTTGAAAATAAAAAATAATAATTAAAAAAATCTAGAAAAAGGGATTTAAAATAGAAATAAATTAAAGAAAATTAGTATACATAAAAGAGGGAAGGGTGCATGAGATAAGGTGGTGTGTGGATGAGAATTATCCCAGGCCACACGGCCCATTCACATTCAGCATACAAAAAAAAAAGGAAAGGGTGGATAGAAGAAAGTTTTACCCCATACTCCTGCAATTATACCCATACCCCTACACTAATATTTTTTGGACCAAAATATCCTCGTATAAAAATTTATAATTTTTTTCATTTGTTCACCGGAAGACTTTTTGCAAGTCTTCCGGTTCATATTTTTTTTATTTGTTCACCGGAAGACTTTTTGGAAGTCTTCCGGTTCACATTTTTTTTCGTTT